GAGAGAGAGAGAGAGAGAGAGGTGGGATGTCAGGGGGGAGGAGGGACAAAAACCCTGAGAGAGTGAGGGTTGAAAAAGAGAGTGGTGGACCTGAAGCTCTGCAGAGACGCAGCAGAGACGCAGCAGAGACGCATTAGAGACAACAAGGAAGACTTCTTCTTCAAACCTTTAGGAACAATCGCTAGAACCTTCTCTCTCACTCTCTCTCTCTCTCTCCTTCACACACACAACCACAGAGTGTGTGCAGCAGCAGCAGCAGCAGCAGCATGATGTTCCAGTGGGGGCTCCCCCAGGTGGTGTGCCTGCTGTCCCTGTCCGTGTCCCTGCTCCTGGCCTACGACGACGGCGACATCGAGGTGAACTACGGCGACTACAGCTTCAATGAAATCTCACCTGTGTTCACACCAGAGGCTCCGGCAGAACCAGAACGTAAGTCTGAACCCGGGTCTGGTCCGGGTCCTCCCTCCCCCCTGAATGAAGTTTTCTGTTGTTGGTGAATTTCCCTTTAAATGACAGACGCAGGGCTGCATGATGGAGCAGTGGTTAGCCGTGTTGCCGCACATCAAAAATGTCAGCGACCCGTGGCTGTTGTTCTGTGTCCCAGAACCTGACGGAGCAGCGGTTTTCTTTAACACTCTTATTGGTCTGGAAGTGTGTGTGAAGGAGCAGAAAGGTCGGTGACCCCTGGTGTGACCTGTGTTTGGCCCAGGTCACAAAGGTGTGACTTGTTGAGTTCCCTAACTTGACTTCAGTATAGTGTGTGTGTGAGTGAGGAGAGGAGCAGAGGTCAAGGGTCAGAGAAAGACAAATCATTTACTCTGACCTCCTGAAATCTCTCGACCTCTGACTGGAATTTAAACAAACGACACGGTCTGAACAGAACTACAGGCTGGAACAGGACAGGGTTCAAACCCAGAACAGTCTGACCCCCTCTCTGACCGCCGTCACCAGGGAACCTGAAAGGGTTCAAGCCCCAAAGCAAATTAAACCACAGTAAGATGGCTTTACCCTCACACTGCTCCACCGTACCGTACCGTACCGTAGCTCAGTCAGTCCAGGTCAGAGTTCAGGGAAACGCTGGGACGTCCAGTCATGACAAATGAGAAAACAGAATATCTGTGCAGGTATAAACAGGTCGCAGCCCACACTGGAGCAGTGGGTCACATGACACAGCTCTGCTTCCTGTTGTTGTTGGAACGCTGTGATGCGTTCACTGACATCGGTGACTCACCTCCGGTTGATTAACTGTTGGTTCTCCACCACCTTGGTCTCCAGCCGAGCCCACCGCCACGCCCTGCAGCTCCAAGGACCTGACCAAGTGGGACAAGCTCTTCTCCATGTTAGAGAACAGCCAGATGAGGGAGAACATGCTGCTCCAGTACGCCGATGACATCATCAAGGTGGAGATGGGGTCACTGCGTGAAGAACTAACCAGGTACGATTGGTTAAAAACATCCCAACATTAAAGGTGATGGTCTCTAACTCTAACTCTAACTCTGGTCTACGTTGGTCTGTTTGTCCAGGTCTGTGGCCCCGACCGGTGGCTCCTGTGGGGCCGCGGCGGAGTCGGCAGGAAGGAGACTGGCCTCGCAGCTCGAGGACGGCCTCAAAGAAACCCTGGAGCGCCTCAGAACCGAAGATCGGCTCTCGGCCGCTGCTGGGAATTCAGTGGCTGCTCCCGATAACCTGGAGTGGACGCTGGCTCAGCTCCTCTCGGCGGCGCAGGCCCAAGCTGCCCGACTCGCCAAGTTGGAGTCCGGCTGCTTCAGTGGCCCGGGGGCAGGAAAAGGGGGCAGTAGAAATGGAGGATTTCCACATGCTGATGGGGCCAAGCACTGGGAGCAGGAGGTCACCCCGCAGATGGAGCCCCTCGATGGAACCCTGGCTGAGGTGTGTCAGACGAAGGCGGAGCTGGAGGAGGTGCTGAGGTCACTGAGGCGCAGGAACCTACCCGCAGGTGAAGATCCGTCTCCTGCTCTTTACCTGTCTCTTCATCTTTCTCTCCTGTCGTCACCTTTTCTCCCCTGTGCCACCCAAACAACCTTCCACCTCCAAGGTTTTTCTTTACGTTGACACATTCAGGTCAGGCTTCAAGTAAAAGACCTCCTTTTAACATTTGTTTTTGAACAACCAATCATGTGGCCGGTGCTCTTCCTAAATTCCTCTACAACTTGACTCGACTTTCTCCAGACGTGAAGATGTAACTGATCCTTTAACTCCACTTCCTGTCACCAGGGCTGTGACCTGATGATCAAACTGTTTGATCTGGTTCTTTGACTGTGTTGCTATGGTAACCCTAACAGATTACTACAGGTAACTGCTACCACTACGGCGACTGTAGAGACGTCGGTGATTAGTTTTAAAATATATGAGTTAGAAAAGTTCATTTCCTGTGATCAAAAAGGCTGCGGAACAGAATTACTCATTTCACAAAAGCCACACACACACACACACACACACACACACACACACACACACACACTGTCCTGCCTGCAGAGAAGATGGAGGTTTGATCCACTCCACTGGCCACAGAAACCACACTAAAGCACCCTGGGAAAGTAAAACCAGATGGAAACGATCATACGATCATGATACACACACACACACACACACACGCACACACACAAATACACTACCAAAACATGCGTGTTCTTTTTCAGCATTATTATTCTGAGTGGCAGAAACCTGAGACATATTTGTGTCCACTGTTTCAGTGGTCAGGGTTTAGGGGGCGACCTTTGACCTTGTTGTTTTACCAGATGACCTCCCTGACTCTGACTAAACGCCGTCACGTCTTCTTCTTCCACAGGCTGTGAGATGGCGCTCCTCTTCCCGATGCGCTCCCGTCGAATCTTCACCTCCGTTTTCCCCGACGCTCCTCTCTCCGTCTCCTCCTTTACCGCCTGCATGTGGGTGAAGCCGACCGCCACCGCCAACAAAACCGTGCTCCTGTCCTACGGGAACCGCCGAAACCCTTACGAGATCCAGTTGCTGCTCGGCCAATCCTCAGCTCTCCTGACCGTGGGCGGAGAGGCTCACCTGGTGGAGGCGCGTGGCGTGGTGCGGCCGGGAGAGTGGCTCCATCTGTGCGGAACCTGGTCCTCCGTGCAGGGGATGGCCACCCTGTGGGCAGGAGGGCAGAAGGTGGCGTCCACGCCTGGGGTGGCTGAGGGGCTCGTCCTATCAGACGAAGGCGCGCTCCAGCTGGGGCAGGAGAGGAACAGCTGCTGTCGTGGAATCGGCGCGGAAGGGTTCGAAACGAGCTTCGACCGCCAGCTGGCGTTCACCGGGAAGATGACGGGCGTGAACATGTGGGACAGGGTGCTGTCGGCGGAGGAGATCTCCCAGCTGGCCGAGCGGGACGGCCAAGGCTGCGAGCGGAGAGGAAACATAGTGGCGTGGGGTACGACAGAGATGGTGCCACATGCAGGCGCTCAGTTCGTCTTCTAGAAGACTCTGTTTCAGCGTTCAGAGGCATCGCAGAGAAGTTCCACAACACACACACACACACGGCTTGTCATCGTCATCTTCATCATCATCATCATCTTCATCATTATCATCATCATCATCATCTTCATCTTCATCTTCATCATCATCATCATTATTCTCATCTTTGTTGCTGTTGTTAAATGTGTGAATTGTTCATTAATGTATCGTCATCTCCTTCGTCAACGCCACTCGTTTCCACGTGAACAATCTCTAATGGACCAATGAACGACAGGAAGTCAGCGCTGTGAGAGACCCATGTTTGTTTTCGTAGCGTAACCTTTTGAACCAAAGTTGTAAAACACACACACAAATGCACGTTGCATGTTCTGTCACACACGTGCAGCTCAGCCTGACCAGCGTTCAGGTGTGAAATCTGGTGATGCAGCAGAAAACAGGCAGCATTAACCAATGACTGAGGTCCACTGTCAACGTAAACAAACACAAACACAACATTATCTCACAGCTGCAGCCGTGTGTGTCTACGTAACGTTGTATTTTTGTCTACACCAGAACTGTCCCAGACGACCATGAAATATTTCATTTTCTACCTTGGCGGTCTACTTCACGGTCTAGTTCGTGGTCTACTTCACGGTCTACTTCACGGTCTACTTCGCGGTCTACTTCGCGGTCTACTTTCCGGTCTACTTCGTGGTCTCGTTGGTTCATGTCAAGCTCAGCGGTGAATGTCGTCTGAAGAGTGAAATACATGTGAAGCTGAAAACTGCTGTATCTG